CCCCTCGAATAGGTGGTTGGTGGGGGGACGTGAGTAGGATTCCCACCTATTCTTCCTGGGGACGCGCCACCTATTTTTCCACCGTGGGGGGGGGTTGAGAAAATAGGTGGCGATCGGTAGGTTTGGAGGGCTTAGATCCGTGTTTCGAGTGTGAAGCCGTGTGCTGTGTGAATAACTAGTAGGAGGAATGCCAGGGAAGTAGGTACAGTGTGGTGGTAGAATCCACACGGAGAAATAGGTGGCGGGCCTGGCGCCAAGTCTAAGTTTCGTGTAGCAGAGACCACACAAACCGTAGGGTCCTCCCCCTGGAATCCCCCTATATCCGGATCTATCATGATCTATCCCTAGTCCACCCGACCAATGTCTACGTCAAGGATCGCGGTACGAATATAGGTGGCTGCCAGAGGGCTGGCTCTGGGGTTCCTGTAGCAGAGACAGCAGAAACCGTCGGGTCCCCCCCCTGGCATCCACTCAAAAACACTCCTGGACTGCCTGCTATCCACAGCGACAAGAGACTGCAGACCCTGGGAGTCGGACCAGGCCTAGTCACTGGGCCCCGTAGTATACTAGTAGGAGGAATGCCAGGGAAGTTGGTACAATGTGGTGGTAGAATCCACACGGAGAAATAGGTGGCGGGCCTGGCGCCAAGTCTAGGTTTCGTGTAGCAGAAACCACACAAACCGTAGGGTCTTCCCCCTGGAATCCCCCTATATCCGGAGTCTATCCCTAGTCCTCCCGACCAGTGTCTACGTCAAGGATCGTGGTACGAATATAGGTGGCTGCCAGAAGGCTGGCTCTAGGGTTCCTGTAGCAGACACAGCAGAAACCTATATAGACCTGACTCGTCTCACACCTTTGTCCCCTAGAGACATGGGGGTTTGCATCTGAGCGGACCCCCCCCCAGCATTCCATGTACCCGGAAATAGGTGGCCCACCTATTTGGGGGGACCCCCCACCCCCCCCACCCCCGCGAAGGGGTCCCCCTTTTCCACTCTATGAATGTCGAGAAACCTCGGGAGCTGGAGCCATAGTTTGGAGAATCATGGGAATTGTTGGAAATGCTGGTAAACCCAACATTTTCCATGATTCGCTCACAGAAAAATGTTGGTAAAATGAACAATTTCCATGAATGTTGTAAAACCTGTGGAGCCGGAGCCATAGTTTGGAGAATCATAGAAATTGTTGGATATGCGAGTAAAACCAACATTTTTCAGGATGCGCTCACGGAAAATGTTGGAAAAACCAGCAATTCCAGCAACTTCCATGAATCTCGAGACCTCGGAGCCGGAGCTACTGTTTGGAGAATGATGGAATTTGTTGGAAATGTAGGTAATACCAACGTTTTCCATGATCACACAGAAAATGTTGCTAAAAAATGCAATCCAACAATTTCCATGAAGCTCGAGAAACCTCGGGAGGCGGAGCTACAGATTGAAAAATCATGGAATTTGTTGAAAATGTTGGTAAAACCAGCTTGATCCATGATTCGCCCACAAAAAATGTTGGTAAAATCGACAATTTCCATGAATGTCGTGAAACCTCTGGAGCCGGAGCCATAATTTAGATAATCATGAAAATTGTTGGAAAAGTTGGTAAAACATACATTTTCCATGATCGAACCCCCCTCCGATACCTAGGTCTTGGGGTTTCTGCTCAAGACGGAAGAGGACAGACCTGGATACCGGGGGCGGTACCATATTTATATATGTATGCCACCCCCTAATGGTTGTTGTAGATGAATGCAGTACTGCGGATAACACTTGGCCGATCCGTCACTGATGCGCTGTTTGGTTGTAGCTCTGTGGCCTAGCCTCACCTTTATTCTATTCCTTACTTCCCCTCCATGGCTTGATGACTGCAGCGTGACAGGATTGGCAGATCAACAGTGATAACGGTAGCAATGGACCCCAGAAGCCGTGCCTGTGTTGTGCGAGTGTGCGAGTCGAAATACCAATAGACGCCCGCATTTTGACTTGTTCGCACCAGCTGCTACTACTAGTGTGACTGCTCCTAGTATTGCCATGCCACAGAGATAGCAACTCCCCCCAGGACCATCCTCGACCATGCAACTGCTCATGTGTGTCCCTGTGTTGTTGCAGCTAGAACCCGAAAACACTGCAAAATACCCCATCGATTCTGTATCGATTCTTTTGCCAAAGTATATGACACACAGTACAAAAATTACAAAACAAGTTCAGTTTCGTGGCTACTTTTCTTGTCGTTGCACCTGCTCCAGCTACTACTACGTACTACTACTTACTGCTGCTTGCTGCTACCTGCTGCTACCACCCACTACTACCACTACTGCTACTAGCACTACTACTACCAATACTAAACATACTACCAATACTACCATTACTGCCATTACTACTATCACGACCATTACTACCATGACTACTACTTCTACTACTACCACTACTACCACTACTACCACTACTACCACTACTACCACTACTACTACTACTATTACTACTACTACTACTACTACTGCGACTACGACGACTACTACTACTACTACTACTACTACTACTCCTACTACTACTACTACTACTACTACTACTACTACTACTACTACTACTACTACTGCTAGTGATCAACTACTACCGGTATACTACTACCGCCTTACCCTTACGCTCATAAGTATACTCTTGCTGAAGTGCCTTAAGCCATTTTTCACCCTCTCATAAATTCGAAGATCTCTTCATTTTGAATTATGTACGTGGAACTAGCGAAACAGCATTAAGACACCATTCATTCACTTACATTAGTCTATTCCATTTACCCAACAAATTTAATAGTGCACGCTGAATCTCAAACATCACACTGATCATCCAAAAATTACACAGCCAGCGAAACTGACAGCCAAAAACAAAATACACCCCTCTACCGTCTCAAAGAAGCGATTGCAAACAATGATAGTGGTTGTAAGTGTTGTACAGTTTCACATGACAACTAGGTTGAACTTCACTCTAGTAAGTTTATCAACGTCAGTTTCATCTGCATACCTGCAAAAAAAATTGAAACAAACACAGACGTCATTCTTAATGTTTGGTCATTGTGTACTTTTGATACGTGTCCTGGTTCGATCTCACCACTCACCACCAGGTGAGCAAACTGCCTCCCCCAATGTACAGTTGCGATTCAAGGTTTCGGAGGACAAGCAGTGAGTCCATGAGTTAGAATTAGCAATGAATCCAGCTTTCAAGGAGCCGGCAAAACACAAGTCCTCTTTAAATTAGAACGCTAATCAGGCGCAAGAAGATATTCTGCACCGCGCGGGCACTCAGCCAATTCTTTTTGGAAGCCTCCCAAAGATTGTTGTTCGATACAGTACAGCACTTTAGCTGTTTTCTTGCAAAAGTGCTTTATTGTCCCAAAGAAACCACTTTTTGTCCAACATGCTGCAATTACTGCCACAAAAAACAAAAAAGACAATCTGTCCCTGTCTTGTAGGCTAGCTGCCCAGGCCTCCAAAAAGATTGTTTCTTTTGGGACAGTGCAGCACTTTCTGTAAGAAGCTTACCAAAATAACATGTTCTTTTGCTGAAGCGCTGTACGGTCCCAACCAAACCTTGGAACCATCTTCCCTGCTTCGTGGGGCAAGGCGGCCATTGGTTGCTTTGATTTTTTGGGTGCCGCAGATGTGCACATGCAGACTGTCACAAGCCGTGGAGATAAAAACACCAAGAAGGGCAGAGGACTGCATTTAAATATTGAAAGGTATTGAATTTCAATATGGCAGATCCAAGATCGAAGATCCAAGATTGCACGGGACTCCTAGGGGGAATCTTGGATTCAGGGAGGGTCATATTGAAATATTGAGGCCGTATTGAATCTAATATAGCGGATCCAAGATCCGTGATCCAAGAGTCCTAGGGAATCTTGGATCTTGGATCCGCCATATTGAAACTTAATGTGGCTCAATATTTCAATGTGGTCCTCCGCGGGGCCATAGGGCCGCATTGGGTTTCAATGTGGTCGATTTGTGCGGAAATTAGGAGATGATCTGAGACACGTGAGTGGAGGGAGGGGTTTGTGTGGCCATGGGGGAAGATCGTGAGCGGAAGGATGGTCATGAGGGGATGATCGTCAGGGGGAAGAGCTGAAAACGAACAAAACACAAAGATCTTTCGGGGGGTGCCATATATATATATATATGTATATAGACAGTGTTACAGGGTTTTTTGGGCTGTTTGCGCATAAGGGTTTAAGGATGTTTAAGGGTTTTTAGTGTCAAGCTTTAGGGCTGTCGGGGTTGCACGATCGTCGATGATGTTCGGTATCCAACAATAGGCCGGGCTCGTTACAAAGCTTCACAGCCAAAATGGCTGGTATTTGAAGATCCTGGTTTCCACTTGAAGAGTTCTACAAGATTCGAGGTTGTTTCATGCCGGTGTTTCTACAAGGTGGCTGCTCGGATGAAGGGCTGGAGGGCTGTTACGCGGTCTATCGCGGTCTTCGCTTTGTGCCAAAAGCACGGATCCGGCGACTCCAGGGATCCGCGTGCCCAGTCACTGATCCATCTGACTCTCAGCGCGCGGCTCCATGATGTGCTATGTCCGGCGCTTGCCGTGCGAAACTCCAGGGACCAACGTGATGCGTTGCAGTGCTCGAACCGAGTCTATCGAAGACGGCATGGTGCGACTTCTTGTCTATGCCGGCCACTGCCGGTGTCCACTTTTAAAGTGTCCTTCTTCCCGAGATGCTTTGGCTTTGTCACGTCACGGCTCTAAAGCCGCCGCTGCTGGGACTTCACCCGTGCGCAAAAGCTTGTTCGGATCCCTGCAGAGCATGGCATGCTGGTGGCTTCTTCGGCATTGTGTTCTGTTGATCGCATAAGCGCGACAGCGACTAGGTGTGTGCTCGTCAACCTAAACTGTGCTATACTGTGCTTGATTTTGGCTGTCTGCTAACTTACGGTGACGGGTGTTCCGTTGACCACGGCTTTTCTAGCAACAGCTTGCGTGCAGAATTTCACATTATCAGAGCTTGTTCCTCAGGCTCCTTTGCCCAAGAAGCCAGCCGAGATGCTTTGATCATTGACCTGCGCTGAGACTCAGCTGCGCTTTTGGCCAGACCGTGCTTTCTTGAAGAGGGCGATTTTTCCATCGGAACCCCAGGCAACAAGGGAGGCTTCGCATCGGAACTGTTCTTGAAGCAGCTGCGCCTTGTTGTGAAATCCAGTCGTGTGTTCTTGAACACGTATGCGTGCTGATATTCAGTTGCACCTCTATCTATGTTCACAAACATCCACAAGCCAGTTTTCTTTGTCTTTGTGTCTGTCTGCCTACTTACTTGTAAGTACCCGTCTCGACAGGCAATGCGGTTTTCTCGGCTGGACGGTTCCTCGCCCTGGTCGGATGCCGACACGCTGTCCAGAACTCTGCACCAGCGGAAAGCTTGCCCGGCACCGAGACATGCACGACTGATGTCGACTGCGTCCCGATCTTCCTGAGGGTAAGATATAGACAACTGCCAAAAGCCGACACACTTCTAAAGGCAGGGAATTGAATTTCATCGTCGCTGACAAATTGTTGTGATCGCCGCACACATGTCCATCATGAGCACCCGCGGGTGCGCTTTAGATTGTTCATCACTCGCGTCTGGGATTGTCTGGGAGTGCTTGAAAATGACTGACACGAGAGACAGAAGGAAAAGGCCCTACTTGTATTTAGTGGAAGAGTTGCGCAATGCCGTGCTGCGCCTCCGCTTCCGCGACAGTGCGAAAGATAGAGAGCAGAACGAATCGTCTTCAAATGCCGTGCCATCACGGGGGCTTCCTTTGGGGCGTCGTGCTGCATCCACATACGCGTGCTCTGCGCTTGCCAAGTCTTTGCTTCGGTGTAGCACCTCAGGGGCACGGTGCCGGTTTTTCCGACTCTTCGTATTGCCATCCTGAGATTCAAGATGTTTCAATTCCACGAGGCCATTAGACCTGAAGTTGCGACCGTTGCCTCTCCAGAAAAGCGAACACGTTGAATTTTGTCAACTTCGACCTTCACAGTTCTCACGTTATCGCCAGCATTCCGACAGCCAGACGCATCTTTGCATGCATTTTACGGCGGCTCTTCTTTACCGTTACCACTGTTAGCCCGGCCAATTTGGAGCAACTGCGACCGGGTCTTGCGCTTGTACGGCACTGCCAGATCAGAACTCTTACATGTTGGCCCTCGTTCGTTTCGCAAGCCCTTCTAGCCTGAAGACCTGTGCACCGCGGCAGAAGGGCCGACATGCCCGTGTGCTTCGAAGCGCTCGATCACTTTGAAGCAAACAAGTGGAAGTCTCATAGCACTCCGGCCCCCGACACAGGCGAAGCTTGCAGTTTTGAGAACATTTGTCGGCAGTCGCAAGGGTAAACTTGGGCAGAGCTCGCCTCTCTCTTGACACCCCGCCCCGGGCCACGGTTTCCTTGCCATGGCGGTGCCCACGTTTGGAGGTTTGTCCGAAGTGAGGCTCAAGTCTCACTCCAGAAGTCGCAAGTAGCGATCTAGTCAACAACACATCCGAACACGGGCTCTTCAAGTTGAAAGGAGGGTCTCTAGTTCCCGAGGCTGACTTGCGATTCCTCGGCAACTCTGGTTTCTGAAAAAACTGGGTTTTGTAATTGGACGCTTGCGGAAACAGTAGCTGCTTGTTGGATATTCCATGACCCTGTCCTGCCATCTTCCATGCTCCTCGGCCTTTATAGCTTTGCATGCCCCGGACTTGTCAAAAAAGCCATGCTGCAGAAAAACGCTGCGGTCATTTTGGCACTTCTCAGTAACATGCGAGCAAGCAGACTGGACACGCCTAGTTAGTGACAGCCCGGGTCGCCGACATAGCTCGCGGAGGTGGGAAAGGATTCGCACAGCCTCTCCTCAAGGTCGTTTTGATTTAGTTTCCCCACAGGCTACAGGCTTGACGAAGAAACCTTCAACGGCGGCTTCGATCTGAGAACATCCAGTCGGTTGTTTCAGTCTTCCAGCCCTGCTGGCTCTTTTGCACCACGATCCCCTGCCCCGTCTTTTATCACAGCATATCACAGCTCAGCCCTTGAAAATCAGCTTCTGTGAGCATGTGGGTGACCTTAAATCCTGAATTGCGGGTGCAATCGGTCACGTGAGCTAGGCGAGCCGTTGTCCACGACGTTGATTCGGCTCGTTGGAATCTTGCAGTTTTTGCCGAGAACCGGCACAAAAGTACTCTGTAACATGTATGACGATTACGAAATGTAACTGGGATACCTGATCTTTTCCGCGCTTTCGATGGCACGGTCCCTGCTCGCATCTGTATAAACGAATAAGGTATATATATATATATATATATATATATATATATATACATATATATATATATACATATATATATGTGTATGTGTATATATATATATATCTGTGTGTGTGTGCGTGTGGTCCCCCCGTCGGAGTTATTTGAATACTCTGCATGTTTGTGTATACTCTAAACCCTCATCGAATGTGTGCAGCACTCTACAACAGATGCTAGAGTACATGCTTGCAAACGTGTTTAAGGCAACGAGAGCACTCCCGATGCATGCCGAGTATTGAACTTCAATCCCGAGGATTGAACTCTAATACTCCGGACTGAATGCCAAAGCGCTTCACAGTAGTGCTGTGTATCGAAATCAGCCCTCTTTTTCACACATGAGGCTTTTCATTATGCTGGCGACTTGAAAGAACACTCGCAGAAAAATACCAGGCTAGCAATGAGGTTGTACGGGTGATGCACACAAGTCAAGGATTTGGCACGATGAACACTAGCATATTTCTGGCAGCCCCAAGGTTATCGTAACAATACACCTAGTAACTAGTAATGATGCTGCGTTTCATATTCACACTACTATGAATGCCAGCATGATGGCCTATCCTCCTAGAGTTGAGGCCCACGATGAACAATACTAGCAGGATCTAGCAGGTAGCGTTGTTTCCCGTGTCTTGCTTACCGCAGTCTGTTGGAAACCGGCGGACAATATACAGGACTGGCAGCCCCAAAATTGGTCGTAGTAACTCTAGTGGTCGAAAAAGACACTGCTCTCACTTTCACGCTACCAAAAGGGGCTGCATACGAATCAAATCCACGATAGCCTGTAGCGTTGTTTCTGCATGTTGCTTCCCACTGAAATGAAGTCTTTTGGAAATGGCTGAAGATTATTCAGTACTGGTAGCCTAACATACCTCCTGCTAGTAACAGTGCGTGTATAGCGGGCGTAACAACGGACCTAAGAGTGACGCGGCTCTACATATTCATTCTTCTATAACTGCCACCATGATCGCGCGTCCTTCTTGAAATCGGAATATCGGAATAAAGATGAAAACTGGTCTGAATTCATGTCTCCCTAGCAGCTTAACGCTATAGGCAGCGCATGGAAAATCGCAACACTGACGCAATTGGACTGATTCCTAATGACCTAATGCTAAACAATGTCAACCCTAACGCTAAGCTTGGTCTTGGCCCTGGTATTGGTCGCAAAGACAACTCCAATATTACCCTCAATGGCATCTCGATGGCGCCCGCCCCCCCCCCCTCAAAAAAAACGCTGCCCACAATGTAAACCTCAAAGCTCAACTGTACGAATATCACGTATCATGCATCCGAAGCCTGCATGAACTTTCCGTGCCAACAGCTTAGGTGCTTCTCGTTGATGAAAACACCTGCTCAGATGGAGAAGCATGCGCCGAAGCATTCCAACGATTCAAGCTGGGAGTTGTGTCTCGGTAAAGCCATATCGGCGAGATGCGGGCAATGGCTTTCGAAGTATTTGGCGACTTGATCCCCCTGCAGATTGCCAAGGTTGTGGGCGTGAGGACGTGGGGCGGCGTGGGAGCCTTTGATTGAAAGCAACAGGATCGGCGGTGTAGCAGTAAAATCTTGGAACCGCTGAGACCCGGCAGATTCCCTTAATGCAGATGATTTCCCATGAGCCGCTGACTTCGGCTGCTGTGGGGCCTGGAGGTCACAGCAGTTGGTGCTTCTGATCTTGACCTTCTGGACGGGAGCCAGCTTATCCTGCAGCTATGATGCACGCCGTTTTCACCCGGAGTGCCTCACCAAATTAAGCTAGCTAAGCATTCCTGCACATTGAGGCCAGACTCTCACTACTTCATCCCTGGACCGCGGCTCGGCTAGGCAGTACTAAGATAATTAAACAGGTTGTTTGCACTGTCAGCTTCGAGCGCACTCCTTTCCCCTGCCGTGTTCGTTGCCCCGGGAAGCATCCACAATGAAACTAGTGTTTCTGATCATGTCGAGTGTAGTCGGTGAAGATTCCCGCACCTTTCTCCAGCTTCGATGGTGCATGTCCTTTGGCATGCAAGTCGGCGTCGTTCCCGAATCCTGCGGAGGCAGTTACTGTAAGTGGAGGAAGACCTGTCAAGGCACAGCCAGTGGCATTGTAGCGACTCAGCAGTGGGCCCGACAAGTCTTCATCTTCCCCGCTTTTCGCAGCTCAAAGTCTGGCTGCTGCTCGAATCTCGGCACAGTGACGCACATAAATCTGAGGACAGGGTATGGTCTCGAGAATTGGGGTGTGATGCCTGAATCTTGACAGCAGGCCAATACCAAAGAGCGCAGGGAGCAGTCGGCATAGTGAGACCAATTTTGCTCAGGACATCCTGTCACAGTGGCCACCTGGCTGCCTTGCGGGTGCCGATCCGCAACTGGCTGAAGGCATAGCTCAGGCAATGCGGCAGCTTCTCGATTAAGTTATTGTGTTGATTCGACCAATCCAGTCTTTGCGGATGGTTTCTGCTTTGAGGCTCCCTGCAGACTGCAGACATCTCAGAAAAGAGAGCGTCGCAGCGTCAAGCCTTCCATGCCTTGTGAATGTTTCGCCAAAGGTGGCCGCCCCAAGTTGCCAACCTTCCCTCGAACGCGACTTCATCGGCGAGGCTGAGGTCTTCTTCCGCGCTGCCTGGCTATTGGGTAGACTGGCTAGCTTGTTTGTAACTGTTTCTGGTCTTTGTTTGTCAATTTTCCGGCTTGGCTAGTTTTGGCGGGGCACAAATGGCACAAACAGAAAGAAGGAATTAACGAGAGAACGAAAGATTGGACGACACAAGAGAGAGAGCGAGCCAGAGAGAGAGAGAGAGAGAGCGAGAGAGAGAGCGAGAGAGAGAGAGCCAGCACTGACCTTACAAACTGCAACCTTGTCCTTAGAAGGGAGTTTGATGTACTATTAAAACTATTAAAGGTCATTGAGGTTTACTGCCGTTTTATAGAGAGTTCAGGCGGGGGATGCACTGCTTCATGTATAGCCGAGCTCTCTAGAGAAAACTGTTGGAGAGAGCTAGTTCCCTGCCAAGTGACGCGGGGGTGCGCTCGTGCACGAAGAGGCTGCCTGGAGGCTGCAGCTTCTTCAAGCCCAGTAGCAAGCAAGCAAGCAGGCAAGAGAGAGAGAGAGAGAATAAAGATTCTTCCCCGGCGCATGAGGGGTGGTCGAAGCCCCCCGGCCGCAAAGGGCTTATTGGGGGCTTTGGAGAATTGTGAAGAGATGGCTGTTTTCCCTTGTTTTGGGTTAGCAACGAAATAGAATAAGAGTGTAACACAGAGGTCCAAAGCCATTATATGTCACATGGCAACGACTCTCGGGGGTACTACGTCATTTCTCGAACACGAGCACTGCATACCTAAGTTGAAGGTGGTTGCTGACGGTTCCGCCCTTAGATGTCTCACAACCTGGGACTCGTTTGAAGCAAGACTGTCTAACCTTACTGGCAACAGCAAATTACCCTCGAGAGTGTTTGCCATGTCACATACAATGGACTCTGGACCTCTGTGTTAACACTGTCATTATGTTACGTAAACAGCCATCTTTTCACACACACCTCCCAAGCCTCCAATAACCATCGGGGGGGCCTTTGCGGCCGGGGGGCTTCGACCACCCCTCATGGTCCGGGAAAGAAGAGAAGAAAGAAGGAACGAAACCAGTCAAGCAAGAGACGGAACGAAAGAAAGGAAGGAAGGATTAACGAAATAAGGAATCAAATAACGAACGACAGAGTACAATAGCGAGAAAGAAAAACGAGGGACTCCACAGCGGAAGAAGGACAGAAAGAGGACAAAACACAAAATGACGAAAGAACTAACGAACGGACGACAGAAAGAACGAAAGAAGCCAAGAAGCGAACAAAGTCAAATCTACAACTACATAGAAGATGAAAGAAAGAAAGAAGCCAGTGGATGGACAGTGGAAAGAAGCACAAGTGCAAACTCAGAAGCGAAGAGGCAAACAAAGACACGAACAAGAAAGGATATGCAAGGAACACAACAGAAAGGAAGAAGCGAACTAGAAGACAAAGAAGAAAAGAAGCAATTGAAAGATGAGAAGAGGAACCTACCCCGACACACCACTTTTCTGTCGTGCAAACTTGCCTTCAGGAGCATCGCAACAGAACCTAGAACTTATACGAACCTTTTCAGAACCCTGCAGACCTTGTTTTTGCGCATGGGGGGCCCTTTTTCAAGCCGCGCAAGCTTGCTTCAAGAAACATGGTACGTACCAAGAAACCACAAGCCCGTATGAACCCACGATAGTGTTTGCCAATCCGGGGGGGGCCGCCTCTGCCCAGCCCCCCACCGGCTTAAGCCGCGCAGCTTGCCTCAAGGAACATGTTACCAACAAAAACGCGACCCATACGAACTCATTGAGAATTGTGTCTGCCATTGGGGCGGCGTTATTGTGGTGATCAGCTTGAATCTCTAGTGAAGAGCTTGATTAGTCACGAAAGCTAGCTCTGTTGAGCTCGCGGGAGTTGCCCTTTAGCAATTTTCACTTGGTCTACCTTGTATTAAGGCACTAGGGCAAAACCAGGGCTTACACCTTATCAGGTGGGACGTCCAAGAGTTAAGGTGGGGGGGTGGGGGGGAGGAGGGGCCGCCCCCCCCCCTCACCTCGCTCATGAAGCAAAAAGAAGAGACAAGGTGTGGTTTCCCCCCCCCTCCCCCCCTCACCTTTAAGGTTGCGGCGCGTGGGACAAGGTGGGGGTGAAACCATAAACCTCTAAAGGGGTAGCTCTAACAGGTACCTACAGCAATGGCTGCATGCTCATACATATACATTCCGCTGCCCATTGGCTCACAGTGGTTTTACCATATTGAGACAAGACAAGCTCTCCTTGCGTAGCAAGACAAAACAACTACTGTCCGTGTGCAGGGCGCTGCCCTTTGATCCTTAGGGAATAACTGGTCATACACCTCCTACAAGGAGTATTCCTTGGGGGGTGTATCGGCACAGTTTTCTGGTAGCGGAGCCCGGAAAGGGCCGCCCGCCTCACAAAGTCCGCTACAGCGGTCGGCCTCGCCGAACGCTTGACCAAGCGGATAAGAGGCAGCACAATGTCGAGCTCGCATAGCGAAGCCGACGGCAGTTCCCAATCCTCCGGGGGATATGAGAACGAAGAGACCTCCCAAGGTCCAGCCACTTATGTCGCACAGTCATTTGCAACATCTGACCGCATGCTTGCATCATTAGGCATAACGCCCAAGATCGCGCCTGCCTATGATGGCACCACTTCGTGGTTTGAGTATGAACAGTTGATTGACGACTGGTGCGACATAACAACGCTGGATGACACCAAAAGAGGTCCGTCTCTCAAGACGAGGCTCTCCGGATTGGCCGCAGTACAAAAAGAATCACTGAACCGAGAAAGGCTTGCAGCCCCAGATGGAGTAGATTACTTCAAGAAGAAGATGCGTCCATTTTTCGTGAAAGGAGAACAGTACGTTTTCCTGTGGCGTTTCCTCGGCCTATTCAAGGCATGGAAGGGCAACCAAGACTTTGTGACTTGGATTGCTAAGTTTGAGATCGTGCTACAGCGCGTGAAAAACTCATGGATGGATCTCTTACCAGAGATAGCTCTGGAAGATGCCCATCCAGATTTCATGCAAGCTGTGCAGGCAGACCGAACCTTCCTGGGCCTACAGGAAGCAGCCGAGAGAGACACATACGCCGCACGCTATTTCGAAACATGGAACAAGGAACGCCTTGACAATCATCGAAGAGCGTTTCCTCTGAATGATAATCTCCTAGCTCTTCTCTTCCTAGTGCAGTCCGACCTAAATGAGATGCAACGTGAGAGGTTGGTAACAGCATTGACCAACCAAGGTCACCGAATTGAGACCTACACGTACCCTGTGGTACGGCAGACCATGTTCGATCAGTTCTCAACGACCAGAACTGGTCTGCAGGATCCCAACATTCGGCACTCTTCTCACAAGAAGGACCGCCATGGAAGGAGAGACCAACGCCGCAAACGCGGAGGTCGAAACTTCCTCATCCTCGATCAGGGTGAATACGATGGAGTCGATGGATTCTGGCTCCAAGACGAAGACACCCTTGAGGAAGGCTTTCTTGCCGCCGAGGATGAAGAAGCTGTCTTCTGGACAGTTGACGACCATGAAGCCTTCGTTGCAAGGAGATTCAAAAAGGGAAGAAGACCAAGAATGCGTCCCGGATCACCGGGAAGAGCAAAGGGTGGCAAGCGAAAAGGACGTGGCCGTTTTAGGTCATACCGCGGAAAAGGGAGAGCCAACCAGGCAGAACATGATCCAACTGATTCCAGCTATTTCGGTAAAGGTAAAGGAAAGGAAAAAGGAAAAGGTGGAAAAGGCAAAGGAAAAGGAAAGGACAAAGGAGATAAAGGAAGCTCCTTCAAGGGCTCAAAAGCAAAAGGCAAAGGTAAGGATACAGCTAAGTCTGCCTCCTTACAAGGAGACCAAACTGGATCTCCACAGGCCTATGAAAGTTCCACCGCACCGAGCTGGGATTCATGGTATGAGGACAGTTATTATACTGACTCCAGTTGGAATTATGCCGCTTATGACGATCAAACGTCTTATACATACTATGCATCACAAGCCTCACGAAGAAAACACGGAGAAAGAAGAGAAGAAATCAAGCAGGATCATCAGGTAGAGGCACAGATCCGAGCGCGCACCAAGAACCCGTGTTCAACTCATCAGTGAGTTACGTGCCCCAGGTCTCTGAACCATCCGAGGGGCAAGGTGTGGAGACTGCAACAGCAGTGTTTCCGTTGCAGCACACCGTCCTATCTGCTCTCACAGAGCGGATCAATCTTGATAAGAGCCCTACCTTTGTCATACTTGACTCTGGTTGTACTAGGGCTATGGGTTCCCGCTATGCGGTGAACAGGCTTATCAAGGCCGTGAAGCAACATGCCCCAGGCATGATTGATTTCACTTTTTCACCTTCGAACACGAAGTTCTCTTTCGCAGATAGTGAAACAGCTCTTATCAAGGAGCGTGTAACTCTATGGTTCAACACAACTCCAAGAAGAGATACAACCATAGAAGTTTTGGATCAGGGGAGAGTCCCCATTTTGTTTTCCATCGAACAGATGAGGAATTTAAGAATGACCCTCGAGTGTAGTCCCACAGCTGACCTAGCAACGTGTGAAGCTTTCGGTTTGTATAAAACCCCTCTTCCGATTAGTACCAATAACCATTTGGTATTGGACCTTCTAGGCTTCACTTCCACCAGGAAGTATCTCCCTAAGTCAGGTACGTCGTTCAGTGCGACGGAGACTGCTCTAGGAGCCAAGAAGCCTTATACTAGGATACCGGAAGGTCGCTGTCCAGCCTGTGCCGGACAGAAAAGGGCTCACACGTACCTCAAGGGTTGCGACAAAGCACCTGAGGGAGCAGCTGATCCACCACCGAAGAGGATTTCAGGTAAAAAGAAGCCTCTTCCATCTGATCCGGCAGAATCATCTGCCAAGAAACTTGATCCACCAGAACCATCTGGTGATGCTCCTGAGCCTTCCGGACCATCGGAACCATCATCAGGCTCTAGGGACAAACCTGCAGAATCCTCTGCACCACATGAACCTCCAGAAGAAGAAAGACTTGAGGTCCCACCTGCGAAGATAAAGACTC